ATCGATGCCCAAACTGCCGCCACCACTTCTTCTCAATGATCTTGTCGGGATCAACGCTCTCCCACGTCCACAGGTGCTTCTGTCGATCATTCAGGTAGATGGTCTGGTAGACATGCCGCTCCGGCTCGAGCGGGGGATTCCCCTCCCCGACTCTGTCCCGGAACTGATGCTGGTAATTCGAGCAGTCGAAGCCCATCTCAATGCACTGCGGCGCGTGCGCAAACGAGTGCGTGAAGTACATGGGCGCGAAGCCCTCCCATCCGTCCGAAGTGCAGGTAGGCGGCTGCTGCTTCGCGAACGCGATCTGCTGCGTTTTGGTGGCTGAGGCGCCCTTGGTGCAGAGATCGGACTTGTAACGTGTCTCGAAGATGCTGTTGAAGTACTCGCTGTCGGAATGGGTGATGGTGATGTCGTTATAGAAGGCTACGCCGCCGAGGACGTACCGCTCGCGCCAGGTGGCGTGTTTGCCTAGCAGCGTCTTGGCTTCGTCGGCGGGAAGCGAGAGGACGAGTTCGTCGTACATCTCGCAGAAGTCGTCTAGGACTGCTTGCACGGTTGTGCTGTTTGGATCCGTTGGCCGGGGACGGAGCCTGATGCCGTGGCTGTCTCGTTGGAGGATTTCGACTGCGGTGTTGAGACGTAGGTGTACGCCTTTGGACGCCAGGTCTGCGGCCCAGTCGCGGTAGAAGTCGCTTAGTTTGGGAAATGTGTACATGGTCGGCTGATTGGGGAGTAGTGTATCTGGATCGTACTCCCATAGTCTCATATTGGGATCATTAAACAGTCTCTCCAGCAGTCCGGCCGAAACATTCGGTGTCTGGTTGCCCGTTCCCAGAAACAGCGCCATGATCGGGATAACCATCTTATTGGCAAAGTCCTCGCTGAACCGGAACAGCTTCATTATTACCTTGACAGGCATGACTCCCAGGATCGGAAACAGGCGCTTAATCCATTTGAGCACGCGGCCCAGCTTCTTGATCTCGTCGGAGAGCTGGTCGACCAGCGGCGAGGGAAATACATTCGTGAAGAAGTTCTCCACGCCCTTGCCAAATGCGACTTGCAGTTTCACTGGACGAGGCTCGTAGCCGTACCTCCGGAAGAAGTTGAAGGTGTGTCGGAAGATCGGGGAGCCACCCTGCACGCCATCATTGAGCCAGTCGGCGCCGTAGCGGGACTCGTCGAGGGAGATGGAGGTTGCTTGGCCGCCGGTGTAGGAGGCAATATCGAAGAGGGTCACGTCGAAGCGATCGGGATGGTTGGCCAGAGCAGAGGCGCAGGACTATTTATTCAACTGGTGTCTGGGTAGATCGATGTGGTGGATGAAGGCTTACCATGCCAGCAGGCCCAGCGCCAACAATTGCAACTCGGTTTTTCTTTTGGGGCATTTTGCTATTCTACGGCTATTCTTACAATATGTCTTTGAAAATTTAGACCAGGAGTCAGATTGCAGTTTTGAAAAGCGTACATCTTAAATATGATTGTCATGCGTGATCATGACATCAACTTCCGCAATCGTGGACAATCACGATCCGATCTCAGATCGATCGGATCGGGCCTTGATCACTCAACAGAATAGCCTATTATTGCCGTAAAAGCAGAATAATCTCTGATAAGGTTATTGGAACTTTTCCCCGTTCTCCGGATTCCTGTTCATCTTGTTTCTCGCCAGCTCCGTGTTCCTTTATCTGACGTCAACTGGCATCAACTTGTTACGATCAATCTCTAAAAGCATAGTAGCATACTTAATCCTTCACTTATAGTCGATAGGCTATGTAATCAATATTATGCTAGGAACATGGTTCTAGTGGATCCTTACACTGGGCATATACTCAATCGCTGTGCTTTCGAGGCAAGAGGTTGCAGCATCTAAGGGACGAAAAAGACCTTGACTCAGGCCTCTATGAGCTCAACTCTTGGATAGTCTTAAGGGACATATCGTATGTCACTTCTCCACCCACATGGACGGAACCCTACCTATCATCAGCTTTGCCTCGGAACACAAGGAGAAAACTCACCGAGCTTCAACAACCGCACACCGACCCCCTTGGACAACCTCAATGGCCTTCTGCAGTGTCGAATCAACTTCGTCCGCCTTCGTGACCGTAGCTCCCCACGCGTTGCCGGCCGCAGCCGCAATCCCAGGGTAATCCGGCGATGGCTCAAACGACAAATTCAAGTCTACATCCATTAGCGTGGCCAGCGACTCTGACAAAAAGGAAAGGACTTACCCGCTCTGTTCGACTTGGACGCCAGACCATCCTTGTGGACGAGCAATGTAGACACCTTGGGAGCGTTCCAGCCACTATTATTCAGCACAATCAAAAGGAAAGGAATGTCGTATCGCCGTGCGATCCAATACACGGATTCCATCTGCGAGAAGAGATATGTGCCGTCGCCGACGCTATAGCTGTCAGCTCAGCTGTACACTTCAATGAGCTGGGGAGCTTACATAGCGCAGATGAAAGAATCTCGTTTGGCCATTTTGACACCCAGCGCTGCACCGCCGCCCCAGCCGAGGCCGCCGGCGCCGCTGCCGTAGAGCGTGCCGGGCTGGTATGTTAGTCAGGTGAGGTCGAGGGAAGTGGCAGTAGCAGTGGCGCACATACCTTGGTAAGGTTCAAGTGATGGATGATGGGAATGGCGTTTGTCACCGCTTCAATCACAATAACACTGTCTTCAGGTAGATACTGCCGGAGTTTGGACGACAGGTATGGCACCGTGACGATGCCTTCCGGTGAAGGCACTTCGAGGTCGCGTAGGCTCTGTCTCCATTGTTTGTAGCGTGCCGCGCGTGCGTCAAATGCCTCGGCGTATTTGGCTCGGTCGAGAGATTGCTTGTCGAGGTAGGCGTTAAGCTGTTGCAAGGCTAGCTCGCAGCTGACCTTGTATCGCCGGATAGCTTGCATGAAGAACACTACGGGCGTTGGTATCGAGTAGACTTAGCTAAGGATTCGGGCTCACCTGGCATCTGTTGCTTCAACGGATCTACGTCGAGGTGGAATACTTTCGCTCCTGTGCTGCGTAAGCTATTGTTTGAAGAAAGTTGTACAAGGAGCATACCATCTGCAGGTTTGCCTGCTGTCGGAACCCAAGGAACATCACAGTCCATCACGAGGATGACATCCGCCTCGCATACAGCCGGATGTGTGCTAACCGTCACGCCGAGGTATGCCTCGTGATCACTGCGAAGACTCACGTCCGATCCGACAGTCTCAATAACGCTGATAGGAAGCTTGTCGCATAATTCTGCTAGGAGCGGCGGCGTTCGTGGATTCCGGCCCATATAGCCCGTAATGATCAACGGCCGTTTGGCATCCACCAGAGCAGCGGCGATACGCTCGACTTCGGGTTCAGGCAAAGCACAGGGCGTGACGGGGCCCATGAGTTCGTTTCCAATGTCGGGAATTTCCACTTGCTGCTTTCATAAGTAACCAACTTCGAAATGAGAACGCTAACTTACCTCCTCCAGGACTTCTCGTGCAGCAGTAAGGTACGCTGGACCCTTTGGATCAGACATGGCAAACTGCATAGCGCGATACACCATCTGCTTGATGTTGCGGCCAGTACGGACCTCGCCTGAATAACGGCAGTACTGTCGCACGATGGATGCTTGGTCGGGCACATCCTGCAGCCAGTGGATGAATCTACAGGTGTTAGATGGCTTTGAGTCAGATATGGTCATAGCTTACTCTGTTCTCGAACCGAGCATCTCCCCGCTATCAGTGAAAGGACTCAATCCCGCAAAACACAGGACCGGAACTCGGGTGACGGAGGCATTGTGGATGGATTGACCCATTGCTAGGGTTCCGCAGTCGACATGTACAATGACGCATTGCTTTTGAGTCAGTCGGTTTCATTTTAATAATAGATGGAAACGTACTGGAGATCCGGTAACTTGGGCATAACCCAAAGCCGCGGATAAGGCGACCAGTTCCGAAGGACAGGTGATGATCGTAGGAAATTTGGTCGAGTTTTCTTCACTCCTCATCAGTTGTGAGTCTTACTCGGACTGAGAGTGCGTACCCTGTTTCGCTTTGATCATGGCTTCCACCATAGCCGGATGATCACTCCCCCTGATCACAGTCAGAATGATAAGAGGAAAGAGGTTTGTCGACTGACAAATTCACAAAACAATACTTGACTCCAGCCTCAACTGCATCGTGTTAGCTCCACCCATCAACAATGACAAAGTTCATATACCCAATGCCTCAAAAAAGCCAGTGGCAGCGGAGCCAACACGCGCATCACTTTCCCATTTCCGTTTCTTGGTCTGTATATCGCGGGTCATTTTGAATTCTTTGGATGCGTGAGTGCTATAGGTATCGATTCTCTTTCCAACGCAGAAACGGGAGGCTTTTGAACATCTCACTGGTCTACCGCTGGGAGATAATCAAGTACCGAACGAGAAGCAAGCTGGTGAGCCTTGCAGAGCTTGTGTTTCTTGGCGCGATTTCGGAACATCCGGGGACCAATCAGACGCGCGCAAATTGGGGTAGCCTCCTTCCTTCCCCGCGTTGCCTGCCGATGGACATGCCGAAAATTATTCATTGCCTTACAACAGTAGGATATGGAGACAGATATCGTCTGGGGAAGGCCCACACCACAAGCCGATCCAGGTACAGCGGAATTTTGCCGCTGGAGTAGAGGAAATTAAATCATAGCACTGCAAGGAGTATCCACCAGCCTTGACGTGGGTCAGGATCGGATTATTTCAAGCCTGAAAGACGTAGACCGTAAATCCTTTTATATACTTTGCAATAGTCTACATCACTAAGGACATACAACTGGAGCTAGTGCGCGGTAGTAGCGAATCGAGTATATGCGACCTGACAAAAGGTATCATACTCCAGGAAAGTCGCACGATTCTTGCAGTGGGCACCGTTCATAGTAAATGAATGATGGGCAGATTCCAGACAAAGTCCAAATTCAAGTAGCTTGAGCCCTCCTCATAGTCATGGTGATAAATATTCATCCTGATAGCTTCTGTTTACGGGGACATACTAATGACTGTGCTCTTCCAGAACTTTGACATACACATTATTCATGCCCCTTTCAGTCTGTCCGATAAAATTGTCGCGGGTCATCTCGACGTTCTTCTCAGTGGTGTCGTGCAGGGCAAGGTTGTACCGCCGAAGCAGTGTCCCAAGTACGAGTTTCATCCACACCAAATTCATACTGTTCTTTTAGTCATCGTAGCCTGTATCCAATGGCACCTGAGAAACTTACTTCTGTCCCAAGCAGCCTAGCGTTCCTTTAGAGGCCGGAACGAGATATCTTTGAAGACTCTGGAGGCCCTCAGGGTCCAGCAACCAGCGTTCAGGGATAAATTCGGTGGGACTAGGGAAGATGTCCGGGTCCCTGAGAATGAAATACGTCGACATGCTTACTGGTGTCTATAAATCATGAGCGACAATTGCAGTAGTACGGTGCTCACCCGGTAAAGACTACATACTCCAGAGGGAATCTGCCAATGCTGATACTGCAAATCCTCATCCGGTGCGATACGGGGAAGACGAGTCGTCACAATGGAAGACAGACGAAGGCCCTCCTTGATGGTTGCGCTCTACAGAGAGTTAACTTCGCTGTCGCGGCCAGAGCCATAGTGTGCCAGTTACAAGATATGGAAGTTGTTCCAGGGACCCCACGGTCGGCATGGAAGCCACATCGGGGATGTTCGTGAATAGCTCTGCTTTTAGTTTCTTATAGACAGCATGGTTGTTGAGAATATGGAAGATGCTGATGGCCATAGCCTGTGACGGGGCGTCCGTGCCCGCCATCATGAGAAACATGGCATCGTCCTCCAGGCGTGCGGACGACTTCTCGCTTGCAGAGACAAGGGGATCAGCAAGGATAGCTGGATAAATGGCCGTTGGCCGCTCCTTTCCGCCAGCGAGTCTGTGCTGTTCGATTGCGCGATGGACCCAATCTCGGACTTCCTGCTCATATCAAGCGTTAACGCCTAAGCCCCCCGTGTTTAAGAGGCTAACAGCATGGGGTTCGGCTAACCTTCTCAAATTCATGAACATGACCATACGAAGGCACAAAGTATGTCACAAGACCGGGAAAAATGCGTGCGATGTAGGATAATATGGGAATCTGTCGGTTGAGCCGGCAAAATTCAAACAGGTTATTGATACGGGTTTTCCAAGTCGCCACTAACGCGGGCTGATCCAGGTAGTGAGATCCCACCTGCGTACCAAAGCAGTATTGGGACAGCGTGTCGCAGGTGAAACACTGAAAGGCGGCATGTAGCTCTAAAGAATCGTTGCTGCTCGCCAGGGCCGAGAAATGCCGGCACAGCGATCGCACGTTCGCGCGGATGGCCGGTTCAAACTGGAAGACGGCGTTCTTCTTGAAGAACTGGCCCAGGACCCTTCGGCGGTCGCGATGTAGCGCATGTCCCTCGGTGGAAAAGATCGACTCCGGGTAGGAGATGAAGCTGAACCAGGGGTCTTTGTTGCGATGCGTTCCCGGGCCAGCGTAGAGCGTGCTGTAGTAATTGGGGTCTTTGATGTGCAGCTCGTTTGGCTTGATTCGAATGATTGGGCTATCATACTCTCTATGGAGACGATCTATTTTCCAGGTGAATACCCCTCCCTTGACTAGTTGGAAATATGCCTCGTACAGACCAGTCGCGGCTGCCAGGCGAGGACCAGGGAACTTAGCCAAAGGACTTAGGAACAGGCGGTAGAGAACGATGGCCCCAATGTAGGCGATGGCGCAAAAAGCGATACAGAACCCATAGTAAAGACCGCTGTACAGGTATTCCTCGATCGTGAAGGCCATAGTGCTGATAAGGCGGCATCAAGGACAGAGAGCAACGCACCCATCCATGCCCTCTGTGGAGCGCTGATTCTGGGAGTTTTTGTAACATAAAAAGCTCCGCAAGGGGGAGGGAGCGGTGTGCAGCTAACAAGGAGAGTGTCACAGGGTATCCTGCTAGGAGTATGTAAAATGTGCAGCCCAAACAAGGAGGCAAGGAATACGAGTTGGCACGAATACATATTCGTAAGATTTCGGAATATTCGCATTCGCATTCGCAAGTTTCGAACTCGCGCAGGATATGATTCTCAAAGTTGAAGAGTCTCATGTGATGCTACTTATGTGGTCACTGCTGACGAGATGCGAAAACGCTCTTCGTTCTAGATCTCATCCCAGCGTCAGTCAGGGAAATATTTATACAAATATGGAAAATTTACTAGGACCTCTATTCTCGGAATAATTGGCCTGCTGGGCATGACATAACAAAATTTCAACTTTAAATCTCTTGTGCACCTCGGGATCTCTGAATATATGGCCTTGAATTTGGGCTTATGCGCACTCCTTCTGCACACTATTGCCACACGTCCCCACTTCTTTAACCATCTGTACACTTCCCCACGAGTGTCTGAATCGCTTCGCCCCAGTTCCCCATCTTCTTCCGCTCATGCAGACAGCGGCGTTGATGTTCACGATAATGTGACTTTATCAGCATTGCCTCTAACCAAGTAGTCATTATTATCTCCCACATCGTCAGCCATGCCCACCACAGCAGCAGGGATGAAGAGCTTAGTGTGTCGAGTGTGTCAAAAGGCCTTCTCCAAGGCCGAGCATCTGAGGGTAGTTACTCTCCATTCTCGCATGGAACATCGTAAATGGCCATAGCCTGCGCTGGAGCATCCGTCCCAGCAAGCATTAAGGAAGCGTGGGTCGTCTGTTAAACAACTGAACTCTCCTTCACTGCCGGGTACTTGTCGTTTTCCAGGGGGAAAGCCTTCGTATCAGGTCTGGACGGTATTTTGGACCACTCGCTTACTTCCTGCCATTATCCCATCTCTCGGGAACGTTGATATTTGTCCGTTCACTTTGCATCTATGCGATATGCTTGATTGGCTATCGCCTGCTACTTAGCCCGATTGCAAAATTTCCCGGCCCAAAGCTCGCAGCTGCAACTAGATGGTACGAGACATATTTCGATGTTATCTTAGGCGGTCGCTTTTTGTGGGAGATTGAACGTATGCACCAAAAGTATGGACCGATTGTTCGAATTAGCCCTTTCGAGCTGCACATTAAAGACGACAATTATTACGATGTCATTTATACCGGACCGACCCGGAGACGGGATAAGTACCAATGGTTCCTCTCCGTAGGATTGCCGTATTCTTCTTTTTCAACAGCGGAATATGGCCATCATCGCCTACGGAGGGGAATAATTGCCCCATATTTGTCGAAGCAGGCTATCCGGGCATTTGGATGTTATTCAGCAGAAAGCTGACGCGTTGAGCGCCCACTTTAAAAAAGCCTGTAATAATGGCGCACCAATAGAGTTGCACGCATATTTTGTGTCATTTGGTGTCGACACAGTCTCACAGTTCGCATTCGGAGTACGCGGTTGCTTTGATCTCCTGGCTGCTGAACAGTTGGAGGATAAATGGAAAAAGGGAGTCAACGGCGAGAACTTACTACTTATAAGACATTTTCCTTTCTTGATCCCACTATTTCGCGCGGTTCCTTTATGGCTATCCTCTCTGGTTGTCCCCGCATGCAGGGATATACATTTCATAGAGAGCGTAAGTTCCGCTGGTGATGGTTGGATTAGGTTGTTAACAGAAGTATAGCAGATCGAACACCGCATGGAAGACCTTTACCTTGGGGATGCAAAAGGGCCGAATACCATCGCCCATGACGTCGGCATATTCAGGACGATCATTCACAGCAAGAATATCCCCGCAACAGAGAAGAGTATTCGGAGGCTTACTGACGACGCCAAATTCTTGATGAAAGCTGGCACGGATGCCCCGTCCCAGGTCATGGCTATTACAATGTTCCACGTTCTTCAAGATAACACCATAACCGAGAAACCAAAACTAGAACTCAAGGCCGCTAATCCAAATCCAAACATTGGGCTTTCCTTGGAAACCCTGGAACAGCTTCCGTATCTGGTTAGTGGCCATCGTTAAATCTGCCGAAGAGCTCTATCTCACCATAGTACTAGTCGGCCATCATAAAAGAAGGCATCCGTATTTCTTCGATTGTGATTTCTCGTCTTCCGCGCATTGCTGAAGAATCTCTCAAATATCAGGGATGGGATATCCCTCCTGGAGTAAGCATCAGCTAGTTATCTTTGGAACTTATCGGAGCTGACAACAACTGCTACCATAATAGACGCCAGTGAGCATGTCCACTTACATTATTTTGAGAGATTCGAAAATAATCCCGGAGCCACTTGCGTTCAGACCGGAACGCTGGACACAACAGGGCGGTGAAAGTCTCAACAGATATCCTATGCCGTTCTCTAGAGGCAGCCAGGCTTGTTTGGGTCCGAGGTATTGGTGATCTCCAGTCACGCTAAGCCACCATACTGATCTGTCTCTAGCATGACATATTGCTGGTGTTATCTCGTACTGGGCACTATCCTACGAAGGTACGAGCTCTCGTTGTATGACACTACTGAGAAGAATGTGGAAATCGTCCGAGACTGTTTTAATGGACAAACAAGACCAGGGTATAATTGCATCCAAGTGAAGGTTGTGAGGGAGCTGCAGTGAACGAGCAGGAACAAAATTTCGAGTCGGATTCTTCTGTATGAAGTAAATTGCACAAAGCTTTTGATGAACATGGCATTCCTAGATGATAACGTAATTGTATGCGACATCGAACCTCCCACGACTCCAGGCCGATTCTCCCACCCTGAATCCTCCAGCGACTGAATCAATTTTCCATCCGACAAGAAGAATCAGCACTTGTATTACATGGAAGAACCAGGTTTGCAGTAAAAGCACATAAGCCGGTGAGTCTAAGACATAACGATACGCGGGTGCAGCGTCGACATACCCTTATCAACCAGTGGTCAAAAAGTACGGGTTATTATACGGGAAAAGGCCAGAGCTTAGAAGCATCACAAAACAGTTGAATTCTAGGTATGAATGACCGCGGCCTATCCTAACTCAAGCTGCTGTACGCAAAGTGGCTCATTAACTATTGTCTCAGCAGAAATCAGGTCCATCTACTGACTGGAAAGACGAGGGCCAGCAACTTCGTTGAGCGGCCTGATGATTTTACATCAAAATATACCCGCAAATATCATTATCAGCGTGCAAAGTGCGAGGACTCTGAGATCATCAACCGACGGTTTGAGCTTATTCGGAACACTATGGTATTCTTCAACGGATACCTACAACTTTCATGAGGTTAGTTTTCAAATTCGCGTAGCCCACGCAGAAAAAGTAAATACAGCATCTTGCCATCAAACTAGCCTCGTGCGAGCGAATGCATCAGTCCTTCTGGGTGGCCTCAGGCCATCAGGTCCCAGGAGCATCTACTCTGGCAAGTTCTATCAATCTCAGTGATACAAGACATAGACCTTGATTGGCTGATTGGTGTGAGCCATAATGTATTGAGCTAATAATGGGCTCGGCTTATAGTATTTGGATAAAATCTCTGAGAAGCTTAGGCAGAGTCCTTTTTGCACCCTTCTATGCGCATCAGGATACCTAGGGGTGTAATAAAAGTAACAGAAAGGATTTACGAATGGCTATCCGTACTCGCCGCCATGAGGAAAGTTGCGTCGTGAACGATTGCGTTGTATGTCGCTGTTGCTGCCAACATTTGGCTGTTCGGGGGTACTGGAAACAGTATAAGGTCACTGGCAATGAACATAGACGCTGAATAGAGCTTCAGTTGAGGATTGATGGCATAACCATTGAACTTTCGGCCTTGGTGATTATATTTCAATTGAGAGACCGCTTCACTGAGAAGGCATTTGTGCTCGGCCTTCACGGGCTATTGCATGAGGGTATGCTTGTAGCCGGAATACGGAGGGTCACAGTAGTATGGATTTCGGATGTGCAGTCTCGTAGGCTTTATTCTGACAGCGGTGGCATTATCTGGTCTAGGAGATCAACCGCCACGTGAACAATGAACTTCTGATCAATTGAAGTATTTTCAGCGGAGCTTTGTCTTTGGGGCCGGGGTTGGACTGGGATTTTTCGCCAAAACGGCTCAAATAGGGCCCCGGTAAAGAGTGAAGTCAATGGCAATGCACCATATAGGATGGGGAAGCACTGGCGTATTAAGACTGACGTATGTTCAGTATTGTTGACATTACGTCGCTTCTATTGCTGGATGTCATTGAAAGAGTCATCCTTGAACCATGTAACAACTAGCAGCTAACCAACCACAAGTGATCATCATACCCCTGATATCAAGTTGACAGCCTATGCTCCAAATATAGTGGATCCTAGATTTGAATAAGTTACTCTTCCTGCCATTCTTGGTACGAAGTAAGTTGAACTTTATGATAATAATTCATTATATAGCACTGGATGCCCAATTTAGATGACTTAAGAGACTTTCAATCGCCCATAAGTGGTCTGTTTCCTGATAACAGCAACTAGCTATTCACCCAGTTGGTCCAGACTTGAAAGGAGGACGCCTTAACCAAGAGTTCATGGAGGATAAGTGTGCTTCATAGGAGGTCAAGTTAAAGCCTTATGCACTGCATGAGTGTAATAAGTTGTGATCTATAATGTATACCTGTCTAGCATGAAATACTAGTACATATATTCAATCTGGATAAGGATTAGGAGGCTAATATCCTCCTTCTTTTAAACCAGTTAGCATGCATACATACATATATATATAATTCAAGGCAGCAGGAGCTTTGCATGCTAATGGCTGTATAATTAATTTATTAAGTATAGTAATGCCTTTATTTGAATTAACACCTAGATATAGTGTTTATATTCAAATTATAACAGCTGCGACAAGGCCAGAACGGGTAGCTTAGGAATCAGATTTGGTAAATTAGCCCATCTGTCATGCTATGTAGCTGAGGGTAGAACAGAGAAAAATACTATAGGAATGTAGGACTAGTCCCTTGCAAATTAATAGCATAAGAGAAGGGGAGTAAGAAAATTAAGAATATTAACAAAGATAGAGACATAACTTAGTACTTTGAAGAGAACCATTTCTTCATTCTTGTGGATGGATCTCACCCAAGTAGCTATATTAGTAGTAGCGCCTCCTAGCCTTGACAAATCGACTGCCCTGTTATGAGCTAGGGACATTCCAGAAAATGCACAGTACACTTAGCTTATTTTACTCAAGAACCAAGAACCAAAGCACTGAACAGGACCCTGACAACTCCCGCTCACTTGACTCTTATAGGAGGATAATTAATATCACTTAGCAGCACTGCCTCTGCTCAGTGTTACCACTTCTTGGATCAGGCGTATTAATGAGTATGCTAGAGGGGATCACCAAGCGCCAGGAATTCTCCTTTCAAGCAGCGTCCTATATAGCTCTTATATTTACATGGTAAAACGTACAATAGCAGAAGGAACTGAGAGGATAGGCTACCTTTGAGGGCCCTGGCAGCAAGGGACAAAAGCGTAATAAGAGGGAGACAAGAACACTGACACAGTATTCCTTCTCCGCCTTGCTATACAGTCGAATCTTGCCGCAGTTTGTGGAATAGAATACCCTGACTACGAGTTGAGATAAGAAATCGTTGAAATCAAGATTTATGATATGTTTACTAGGGCCAATGATCATTAAATTTCATTATGTTTGTAGTATTTGTTCAGTTGGCGCAATTCCTGTTTGCTACGGCGTTCAATGCAAGGGACTGTGCTTGCTGATAGAATACCAGCGGTGAAATGTGCTTCCCTTGCGGGACTCGACGTAATTCGCACTCACTGGTCTTACAGCACAGAGGAAGAGGGATGGGAAAGAGAGGAACCGTAATACAATGTTTTATTTAGCAAGGGGTAGGAGACGAAGAACCCATTTAAAGGTACAATGCCCTCAACTCCAGGGTCTTGAAGTTTATCAGTCTACCATTATCCCTATCTTACAGTTTTTTAACCTTGTCACAAGACCAAAGCTAGCTCAACAGATTGAACAGAATGTTGCCAACAGCGGATTCGCCATTGAATTCACCAGCTGGAGCAGGGCAGCTTTCTGGACCCTCTGATACCTATTTGTGTTCCTTGCCGCACAGACTAAAAGACCGGGCGGATACCGATGAGGACCGAGCTGAGGGTAATGATGGCGATATTGATCCTGTTCCCTTCCCAATTGCCATTGTGGGTATGTCAATGAGGCTGCCGGGAGGTGTCAATTGCGAGAACGAGTTTTGGGAGTTCTTGATAAACAAACGAGACGGTCTGTGCAGAGTCCCTGACAATAGATATAATATCGACGCCTTCTACAAAGAGTCCACATCTGGTGCAATTCGGACACAACATGGATACTTTCTCCAGCAGGATATCGCGTATTTTGATGCTGCTTTCTTTGGAATGAGCAAGGTCGAGGCTGCGAGACTGGATCCGCAACAGCGAATGTTGATGGAGATTATCTGGGAGTGCATGGAGAACGGAGGTCAAACGCAATGGTGCGGGAAAAACATCGGATGCTATGTGGGTGTCTTTGGAGAGGACTGGTTAGATCTGTTGAGCAAGGACACCCAGGCTAATGATCGATATCGGGTTATTGGAGCTGGTGATTTTGCTTTATCAAATCGGATATCATATGAGTTTGACCTGCGGGGCCCGAGCATGACAATTCGAACAGGATGTTCCTCCTCGTTAGTCGGCTTGCATGAGGCCTGCCAGGCTTTGTATTCGGGCGAATGCTCTTCTGCCTTAGTTGCTGGAACGAACCTGATAATCACACCGACTATGACCACCTCAATGTCTGACAATATGGTCATCTCGAAGAGTGGAATCTGCAGGACATTTGATGCCGCCGCAGATGGCTACGGCAGGGGAGAGGCCGTAAATGCAATCTACATCAAACCACTGGATGCTGCCTTGAGAGACGGTGACCCCGTTCGCGCGGTTATTCGGTCCACTGCTGTCAATTGTGATGGTAAAACCCCTAGTATAACCACACCGGGCTCACAGGCACAGGAGCGCCTAATCCGTCGGGCATACCGGAGAGCAGGAATCACGGATGTATTCAATACAGGCTTCTTTGAGTGTCATGGCACAGGGACGGTTGCCGGGGATACAGCAGAGACGTCTGTTGTGGCAAAAGTCTTTGGAGACCACGGTATACACATCGGTGCAGTATGTTGAATCCTATCACTGCCTACCTTCGGGTATAACAAGCTAAGTGGAGTCAGGTAAAAGCAAACGTCGGTCATTCGGAAGGTGCTTCGGGGGTTACAAG